TTATATGGGCCAAAGAACTAGTACAAAAAGAAGGGTTACGTTCCGAAAAAATAAAAAAGCAACATATTATAATCTTTTAATAAATACTATTATATTTATTAATTAATTTTTATGATATTGTTTTGTCATAATTAACAAGTAAGTATTTTCTAATGCTATAGTTTTCTTTTTGAAAAGATGTTCTAATACTCCGAGCATTTTTCTGTGCTACCTTCATTTCTATGCTTTCTTTTTTGCAAAAAATATATTTGCGATAGTTTGCTTTAGCGAAAAGATATTTAAATATTTCCTTATTAATACAAAGCACATGTAAAATCACCTGTGATGAAATTTTGTGCTCATTTCATCTGAAGAGTTTTTAAGAAATTATGACTAGTTGATAAGCCTAAACCTTTTCTCCAATAGAACGCGCGCGCTCGAATAAAAAGTGTTAAATGAGTTACCTTTGGCACTAGTTTCATCACATTTATTGAGCTATTGTACAGCAATTTTATTAATTTTTGATTAAATATAGTTTGTTTTTCAAAGGTTTTACTACATTTATCGTTTTATTTAAGATTTTATCAATTCTCAAACCGTATTAGCGCAAACAAGTGCTTTAAGTTTGACGTGTTATAAGGGGGGTGGTCTTAATCCTCGAACCGTGTTATAGGGAATCCGTGTTGCAGAAGTACCGTATTTAATCAATGTATGACACCAGTTAAATATTTTTAACTTCCCGTAGGGCAAGTTATAGTAATCGCAAAAAGATCGAAAATGAAAATTTTTATATATCTTTAAGTTTCAAAACCTTCTGAACATTTTGGCATACCTTAGAAGAAATGGATGTATGAGCGTGTGTGTGTGTGTATGTGTATGTGTGTGTGTTCGAATACAAACTTTCGTCGACGATTTCTGGAACACGGATCAACCAATTTGAATAATTCAAAAAACATTCGATTCGTATTGATAAGGAGACGTGCTGATTAGTTTTTAGCGAAAGCAGGTCTAGCCGTTCCGAAGATAGGGGCAAAAAGTGCCGAAAACGGTAACACAGTTTTTAAGAGAACGGAGCGTCCGATTTTAATAATTCAAAAAACATTTTACTTGTATTGACAAGATGAAGAATTGATCATGAGGGCAGGTCAAGTCCAATTTATAGTTTCTCAAAAATCTAATTTTTTCGAAGTAAATTATTTTCAGAAATATTATTCGTTTTTAAAAAAATAATAATTTTTGATACGGGAAGTTCCAGCAATTTGCTTTAAGGCACGATGACATGCGCCCCACCAGTCTATTTTTATAATAATATTTAAATAAATATTGTTAATTGTGCCACTATTTTATAAAATTTTTGAACATCATTATTTCCAGGATAATAAAGAGATGCGTATAATAAAATTTATTTATGAAATGATATTAAAATTTGTATAGCCAGGTTAATCATTTATTACAAAATCGCCTGTACGTATTAAAAAAGTCTTCTGCTTCTGCTAGAGTGAATACGTTGGTCAGAAAATTATTTATTTAAACGCGGATAAAAAAAAAACATTAGCAAATGTCCAGTCAATATTATTACTCGATTTCACCCACTTTTCTAGATAACGATTAATTAATGCAATTCATTACTGCACATCGGCGAGAACGGATGAACCTCCGCTTCTTGGCGTCTCTACCCACGGCTTTCCGGCAACCCGCGAGCTTGCGATTGCAAGAGGCGCGGAATGAACGCATAGTTGTGGCGTCTTTGCCGGCGACGGGAATGCAGAGCTATAGGAACATTTGTACACTCATCATGTCGCATTAGAACATCGCCACTGTGAGTTATAAGCGGTCGACGGTGAGCGTCGTTTGCTGGCGATAAATAGTGCTATATATCAGACAGCGTTTGAATATATGTGCAATGACAATACATTACGGACTTGTGAATGAGAAAAGTAAAAATTGTAGTTTATAATTTAAATGTTTATAGAAGTTTGCAAATTCATAAATCTTCTTTATATAATATAAAAGGGCTCGCCCGTAGGTAAGCGGTTAAGAGCGACGGGACTTGTTTCAGAGGTCCCGGGTTCGATACCCACTTCGATCAGCCTGTTGTCAGGCAGCAGTGACAACGATTTTCACTTGGAAAGATAGATAGCAATATGTTTCCAAGTGAAAATAGCCCTTGCCCGGCATTGCTGCACCAATAAAAAGTCAGCCCTATTAGATTAATTCTAATAACAAAAATCATCAAATATGGATGGATTAATCATTGGGTTACCATCTCAAAATACGAAGTAAGGAGAAGTTTCAGCCCAACAGCTCATAGAACGTAAGGTTCTGATTGCTGTTAAATATATAATAATAAAAAAATATAATATAAAAACTTACAAAATATATAAAGTTGCGGTAGATCTTTATCAATAACAAAAATTATCAACCCGAAATATCATAAAAAATAAAACAAGTAATTTTAATAAACGAATGAACTAATTGAAAACAACCAATTGAACAAAATTTTTAAATATTATATAAATTATATTAAAGAGAAAATTTAGGCTGAGTCCATGAACTACACATACAAAAGTCAATGATGGGTTTTTATTCGTACAAGAACTCTCCACCGCTCATGTCAGCTAGAATTTAACATCGTTACACGTAGCTCACACGATCAACTATTAGACTCTCACGACGCCTCCGAGCCGAAGCCACGTTCGTCGGGAATAACCTGTCATCATGGATAATGCCTTCGTGTCATTAAAATTTATTCTCAACCCAAGGTAAATAAACCGTACGCCTTGAATATGCCATGAACGTATACCAAAAACAGTCTCGAACCCAAATTTAATAATTGACGCAAAAGAAAGCAATTTTATACATTATTTTATTGATTATGTTAAATCTGATATAAATGCAATTATTAATAAAAAATAAACATTTTTGTAATTCATTGGGACTATGTAATTTCGTACCAAATAAAAATTATATAAGTAGTTGAACAAATATGTGTCGTAATAATTTTCCACATCTGTGCGTAAATTATGAATTAAAATCTTGATTAAAAATACCCATTTTATGAAATAAGTGGTTAATATATTCAGTTGCATTGATCACCTCTAAGGAGACAAGACACCTTATGTCGTGAGATGGATAGATGCGGCGAAGGAGTCAAGTCACGTCGTAACCACAGCATAACCGAAACGTTGACATCGCGCGGGGTGTCTGCAAGAATTTCACCGTTAGAGCGCTTTACAAACCCCTTGGCATCGCGACGAAACCGTGTTATCAACGGCCTCACTCCCCAAGTCCGCGGCCGCTATTGCCGCACAAAGCCAACTCAGTACTTTATAATATCGTCGCTGTCTTCTTATTATATTAGCGTTCGCACGACTGGATTATAAGTCATATAAGGCGACACCCACACAAATGCCGTTGCTGAATTCAACTATCGCATTGCACATATGCAGCCGACGCGAGACGGGCGCTGTACGTGTGCGGGCTGCCGTATTAAGTGCTCTTTGCTTCGCGGAGAATTCCATTGCAAATCGTTGCGTTCTGCTGATATAAACGTAAAGTTGAAGTTTTACTTCCAGTTTACCTCACACAGCACTCAAACCTCTGAGAATGTTATCGAAAGAAAGGCATATGTGGGAAATTCACTCCCGAAGTGCAGACAGGGTTTAGTGCAGTCGAGCCTTTGAATATTAATAGAAGTACAAATCGAAAAAAACTTACTTAAATTAGCAAATATATCAACATATAGTAACCCACAAATTCTGCATCAAATTTAATTTACTTTCTAATATTATCTTAACAGCCGTTAATTTTTACGTAGCTAGTTTTCAGATGCGTTTGTCTTGTAATATGCTATATTCATTGCACTATGTCTTATACAAACAAAGCTCACGCAGTGTATTGTATTTAAGCAATACATTACCACAATTGCAAAGTTATAATTATTGTCTCTAAACAAACGAGTCAATACTGTCTTTGTTTGAAAACTTAGACTGATTATACACTGTGTTTACATGTTCATTACTATTGTACGTATAATTATAGTGTCATCATGTGGGTGCATAATAAAGAAAACCATGCATGCTCTGTTCACTTTAATTATTTATTATTGACGTTATAATTTTTACAATATGTTTTAGGTGTTTAACTAACATTATATGAAGCTCATCAAGGTGTGAATAATAATGAATGTGTTACCGTGAAATAAACGTCAAGCGGATTGCAAACCGCGGATCAAACTGCTAAAGTAAACTGAATCACTGAGGTTCGGGTGCGATATTTAAATCTCTCCATTCGCCAGACACAGAACAACAGTATAATTGGCAGTGGTTGTAGTGTCGGCACTTAAGTCCGACACAAACACTACAAGTCGTATTAGCGGTCGTAGCTGTAACAAGCATTGGCGAGTGCTCTTGACTCCGCGCTCCCTATGGTACACTATTTGCATTGTCTTTACACAGGGGCAAACCGCTACCTTCTATTACAACCAAAGAGCTTTTGATGAGATACAAACTAAGTACCCGTCAGCCGAGTGGTCATTACAGTGGGAGAACGCAGTTGTATCGCGCGGTCACCACGTGGGTGCACAGGAATGGGACAGTTGTATCCCTTTGGGCGACGGCGGTTGCCGATGCTAATGGTTGTCAACACGATAGTTCTGGGCATCGTGTGACGATGAATTTGTTTGACTTGCAATTAGCGTTGAATGCGAGAGCACGTTGAGTTATTGTCGTAGCGTTTCACGATGCTCAAGCATGAATTATTAAAATTAATGCAGTATTAATATCCGCATAGACTATGTGTTTATTTAAGATACGTTACGTGTAATAGACCAAAACTAGTTAATAAATATACTTATATCATCGTCCTATTATATCGCTGCATTGATATAAATCAATCATCATAAAAATAGTCACCCTTAAAAATAAATTTAGAAACGACCTCAGTATATTTGTTCGTTTTCATTAGTGGTGACATTTTTTTATTATTATCAAATAAAATGTACAAAACTATTTAATAAATACCTCTGTTGATACTGCCCGGAGATAACGATTGAGTTGGACGTGTGACTGGTACCGTGCTAGCATCACTGAGCGTTGGGCCTGGACTACACGAACTACTCACTGCCGCGACACTGACTACACCTTCGCGAGCTACATCTTGTATCGCGGAAGCTGCACGTGAACCAACTCCCGCAGGCTGCAGTATCGTATACTGTTTAGATGCTCCAGGGGAAGCAACCGAAGGCACACTTGTTTTCGGAAGCATGTCGTCGGGCTCCAGCTTAGCAGGTTGTAAAGGCATCGGTCCGGGGACGCATGATTTGTCTTCCTCGAACGCGGTTTCAGGAGGAAACGCTGTCAAAATACGCTTGCTGTCAGCTGGTGGTTTAAAGGCCGATGCTCCTGAAGCGCGTTGTGCGTAAGACGCATATAATGATTGATGATGTCTACCAATTACGCCATCTCGATCTGCTACGCTTCGTCGTTTCGATACTTTGTCGTCATCTGCTTGCTCTGACATATCTATCTCTAGAGCATCAGATGAATCGTCCACTAGTTCATTAAAATCAGGAGGATCATAACGTTTTGCATCACCTTTTCGTAATGTTATTACATCTTTAAGAGAACATGCATCACTTGCCGATGAGCTTGCAGATGAAGCGACTGGTGACATTTTTGATTTCTTCTCTTCAAACAAATTTTCAAAATCTGGGGATTCATCGGGATCTCGGCTGTATGATGATTTTGAGTCTGGCCAGCTACCGGAAAGACTTTTTAAAGCAGCTTGGGTTTCTCTTATTAAAGCTTCGTTATCTTCGGCTGGTTGTTCATCTCGTGTTGGTTTCTTTGGTGTTGGCACTACGCGTTTCTTTTGAGGAAGTGGTGCTTCAGTTTTGACAGGTATAGTTGTTTGCTGTTGTTGTTCTTGTGACTGTGAACGTTTACGTCGTTTGACAGAATCGTTTTGTGTTATTACTGGTTCATCTTTTGATGATGGACGCTTTGGCGCCACGGATATAGGAGTTGGTCTGTGCATATTCTCAAAAGAATGTTCAATATGTGGCTCGAGTTTGCGCTTTTTTAAGTGCGGTGCGTTTGTTACACTGGTGCTGAAATGAATAGAAAATAACACTTCAATAGGACGTTAAGACAAATATTTAATTGAAATATTAATATAAATTACGATAATCATTCAGTAATGCTCTATATAATCTACATTATTACATTTGATTATCGATAAATAAAATTAACATTTTTTTCTCAAAAAAAATATTTTAATTACATATATAGAATATCTCTAATATTACATTAGCTATATATAGAAAAAAACTTTTAATGCATGTCAAACCATTATTATTGAATAATGACAGGCTAGACATGAGTGTATGTACTAGATATGCAATAACGCTACACAGCATAGGTCAGACCTACTACTTTCATCGGATCAAATGACCACCGTAATTATACGGTACACATTCACCACTTAGTGTTCAATACGTTCCTAACAGCTACTTTGATGCCTCGAATACCACTTACAATGCAAAGTGTCTAAAACCTGTCATTTGTGCATTAATGCTTAAAATAATACACCGTTTTCGAGAAGCGCGATCACAATCACTAATAATAAAAAATTTAAGATACCAAATTATCAGCAATGAATCTCAAATCATTATTATTTTACTATAAAGGAGTAAATATAAAATAGATAATATCAAGTATTTTTCATTAATTCGTTAGTTCTACATTTAATTTAGTTAATTAATGGAAAAAAATACCAGCTTGCTAATAAACTGGATAATAAAATTAACTTCATCAGTCACGCGCCTAAAAAAATATTTGTCATCGTTGTAATAAAATCACTTTAATTCTTAGATAACACATATTATTTAATATACTCCAATTTGATTTCACTAATCGTTTTCGTAGGAAATATTCCCTTTCGATGTTAAAAGAGGAAATATTTAGTCTACAAAATTGAGAGACGACAAACAGAATACTAAATTGAGGTAAAGTTTTCACAAATTGTATCACTTGTATAAATTTTCATTTGAATTTGCTAAATTCTACTTTAGTAATATTCACAAAAAATATTTTTTATTACATCGTGCAATGCATTATTAATGAACGATGTAAAGGTTAAAATATGTCATTCAATGTTAAAATTAATTTAAAACAGGTACTTTTAAAAAATAATTATATGTTTTTTCAGTGATATTTGAACAATTTCATAGAATTATCCATTAATCTAAATTACAAGCTTTATGCTAGTAATTAACAATTTCTGAGATGCACGGGTCCGTGGTAACTCACTATCCCTTGCATGGATTAGCTATTCTAGTATACCGCCGACGATAACTATATACAAAGGAATTAATGCGCATCAGTGATTAATTTAAGGCATATCGCCTTAGGTTCGTTCTTCCTTAGAATAAACGAAATTCTTGAACTGGAAGAATATCTGGTATCTTAAGTGCCTGCTCGGCGGCAATATTGCGCGTTGCAACACGGATTTCGCTATCTGGAATGTCAGAATGCGAGGATTATTGTACATCATCCCTGGTGAGTAGCGGGCCTCTGGATTAAGCGAATTAAACACGAATGCGAGTGTTAAAGACGCATTTTCTCAGATAACGTCGCGAATAAAGAAGGACGCATGATGCGCGCAAACAATTACATAGTCTAATTTACTCAAAATATACGCACAGATGCTCGAAATGACTAAACTCTTAATAGATACGGATATATTTACGGGATTAGGAAAATTTATTTTAGGTATCTTTGCATGTGAAACTTTTGGCACTGCTAGGAATGATCATGAAACACTTCACATTAGAATAACATTATATTTTTTTAAACAAATCTATTATATTGTTTTTTTTTATTTTTTATTTTTATTGGCCTCGCTTACTCGAGCATTTAGCCACCTACATTAATTATATTGTTTTTTTATATATAATTTTAAAATATAAAGTTTGTCACATACAGCGGATCTTAATAATGAATGACAAAACGATTAAAATCAGTTAAACGCGATATTTGAGATAATTGCAATTTACGTGCGGTTTACTTGAAATTAATTGATTATACCATGTTTTGTTATGTTAATATCAATCAACTGATAATCTGCCAGCAAACCTGGTCTACTGGGTGCTAGGCCAAGTCCAAATTGATTTCGCCACCGCTAGGAAATGTAAATTTAATTTTCAATCTATACAACAGGCAATCTTTCCATTGCGTCATTCAGGTTCCGGCAGTAGTGACCGTCATCCGCTCTCGGGCCGCGGTCGGAAAAGCGGCCCGCGGTGTTATGTATATTAAAGTAGCATTTTTATCCATCGGACGGTTTCATATGAAAAGTTAATCGAAATATCTTTACATAAACAAAGGCATTTCGTCGTGTATTGTGTGTACATTGCTCCCCTAAGCGACGCGTTTCCGTTTACACACGTTTATCCCATCCTTCGCCGACGCACGTACGTCTGGCGTGTGGAAGCCGAGAGGATGTGACTCATTCAATCCGCGGCATCATATCCGTGATTCTTAGGGGGATTTATTGGAAAATCATATAAAAAATAAATAAATATACATAACCCGATAATACGATGATAAATACACCGCGATGATCTCTTTGTGCCGGAATTCCACCGTGTTACAACAGGCAGAGTATCGTAATAATATTTACAAGAGTTGAAATATCGTTCATATAAGAAGGGTAGAGTATTTTACGTAAATCTAGGTACTTATGAAATTAGATGAAATCAAAAATTTTAAATATAAATTGATGAAGTATAATATTTAAGGGTAGACTTATGAAAGTCAATCCTTTATAATATGCCAATCCATTATTATGTTGTAACCATTATATATTGAAATATATCTTTTAAAATTAAAAATTGAAAATATAAATATTTAGGTATTATGAATTTTATTTTTTCATTATATTTATTTTCAATAACTAAAATGGAGATATATTTATTTATTTATGTATTTATTAGCAAACAATTTTTTTAAATCATTTTATTCTGCAATCTATTAGATAAAACAGTGACATACAAAACTAAGAATAATTTTGTATATTTTAAGATTTTTTTAAATTTAAATATTATTCAAAATTAGATTTTATATAATTGAAGACTATCTATGAGGTTGAAAGAAATGATATAGATTATTTACAGATTATTTAATAAATCAAATTGAGCATTAAAATATACTATATTGAATGAATCAAATAAAATAATTATACTAATTTTAAATAAGAATAAATTAAATATATATATATACATACAAAACTGATTTTTTTTAAATTTTAATTTTTTTTAAAATAAAAATATTATTAACATTTAGTATTTAAAAAAATCCAATAATATTCATAAAATTACATTTTTCAATTTCTTCAATGATTTTTTTCAAATTATTTAATAAATTAAATTAATTTACCAAAGTTACAATTTTTTTTTCGTTTATTTATTTATCGTTTATTCGTTTATCTATTTCATAAATTATGTAATAAATAATAAGCCCAAAATGATGTAATATATTTTGCAATTTTATATAATTTATTTTATTTTATTTTAATTTTATTCAATAATGTTTTATTAAGTCATTAAACACTAAGTTAATTCAATTATTATGAATTTATTTATATTTATATTGACTTTTTAATAGAACAAATATTATTTATTTTTATAACGTAATCATGAGTACATTTAAATTTGTAATTTTTGAACCGTATTTTTTATTTAGCTTTTAAAAAATAAATATTTATTTATATTGTTTTTTTAAATATTGTGCTGAGTGAAAATGAAAAAGTAAAATAGTTAATTCACAAAACTAATAAAGTATTATAATTTTCTCTTTCTGATAATTCATAGCACAAATGTATTTTCAGAATTATCAGGCCAATTTTATTTTATAAAAAATATATCACAACCACATAAAATAAATTTTAACACAGGTATTTAAGCACGCACAGTATATATTTTGAATAAAATTAAACTCACCATATCGAATTAATCATTTCATATTATATTCTCTGTTACATTTAGTGAAATATATCACTATGCAATTCTACGGCAAAGTTTAAGTATATATCTTCTAATAATGTCAATTGCCTACGTTAATTATGGCACAAGCACATACACCACACAGAATAGCAATCACGCAATTTTATACAATTCAAATGCAAGTGCTGAGCGTGTTTCAATAAATGCTATATTGGTTCCAGTCCGTACCTATAACGGTTTCTAACGGAATTAAATTCGTTGCACGTACAAACGTGTACAATACGCTAATGTTTTTCACTAATTCACTACGATGATTATTCTAGAAGATACTATTATCACAATAAATACACTTATTGTCAATCATATCCAAACACTTAACATTTAAAATTGCAGCACAGATTTGTTAAAAATTCATAATCTTGTAAACACGCACGTTTCGATTGTTCGAATTCATAACGGAGAACTAGTCGAGACTCAGATATGAAATTTTCATGAATATTTAATTTTATGGTAAAAAGTTTTTACTTAAAGCCGGCGTAAATGAAACTTTTTACATTGACTCTTGGAAACTTTTTGTTGTTCAGTTGTTCTTCTTTACTTTTGTTTCTTTCTTCGAGACTTTTTCGCGATCTATTTTATACATATAGTTATATGTGTGTATCACCGCGAGAACGAACTTATAACTAGATGTTACTTCTACGAAGTTTACACCTGATCTGAATGTATCTAGCGTTTTCTGAAAACACAGTACAGGACTATAACTGAATGTGCATACGCACACTTGCAGCCGATGTCCCTGTATTTGTATATAAAACACTGCGTGCGCATTCCACCCCCGATGGGCTATGTATAATAGCGCTGGCTCGCTCTCTTTTCCATTTGCTCTCTTTTAAAGGGAAAACATTCGCATCCCCGCCACTTTGACCGGACTCTAGTGCCGCGTGGTGGGGCTACGGAGACGCGGAGCTTCACGGAGCGGCCAAGAGCTTTTCAAGTCAGTTGGGTGCTGTGCATCGGCCTGCACTCACTACCGTTTCACGTATCTGCGATTTCTAACGTTTCACACGACAGTCGCGAAATATATACTACGCACAAGCATTCTTTGC